CTGGAAGTCCGTGCATCTGTGTAACTCTGAAAAGCACATTTCTGACTCCTGGGTCTGTGATCTGCTTGTGAAACCCCCTGACACTCCCCATTCCCACCTAGCTGAGGAATGAGTTACGTGGTTTGGGGCCCAGAAAGCTGCTTCCTAGAGCCAGATGAACTCTGCTGGAGCCTGGCCCTCCCTCCCTTCCCTTCCTTCCTTCCCTCCCTCCCTTCCTCCCTCCTCCCCCCACCCCCATTGAAATGGGCTGGTGTGTGTGCTGTGCTGAGGACCTGCAGCGGGTTCCCCTTGTCCTCCTGCAAGCCAGAGGCAGAAGCAGCCCTCCGTGCATCACCACCACCACTACGCGCCCCCAGGTCCCCTGCAGGCCATCCCAGCACCTGGCTCCCTGGCTGGTTACTGCACGTGGCCCACGGTGGTCTTGGCCACGGCCCTCCCACCTGCCTCCAGCTTCCTGCCAGTCCTGCACCACTTGGCTGGCCCCTCATCAGCAGCCCTTAGCCCGTAAGTCAAGGCCAGCTTCTTGTTCTGTGGGTGGGAATACCTAGGGACTGGGTTGCACCTCCTCACCCCTGCTGACAAGCCAGTGGACCCATCTTTATCCGGTCCTAGGCTGTAGCAGGGAATTTGGAAAGGCCCTCCCATCTTCCCCAGGGAGGCAGGTGGGTCCTTGGCAGTATTAGCCCCTGGAGGTCCCGGTCTGAGAATGGGCCCCAGGCCAAACTCCTGGGGAAGCTGCTTGTGGCTTGGGTCATTTGTCCAGCATGAGCAGGGCTCTGGGGACCTGCACCTGAGCCCTGGCTGCACGGCTCACCTGCAGTGTGGTGTCTGCATGCTAGGCCAGGGCAGTAACTGCACCCACATATCCGAGCTTTCCTAGGGTGGCATCTGATGGCGTCCAGCCCACGCAGGCTCCGGGCTTGTGAGCCTCCACATGTGGACTCTGGTGAGCAGCAGAGTCCTGGGGACTCTGGGGGCATGGGGTGTGGTCGGGGAGGCCCGGCAGAAGGCTGCAGCCTTGTCCCTGGATGCAGGACCACAAGTCAAGAGGGAATACAGGGTTTCATCAGGAAAGATGGCCCAGGAGCCATAGGAGAAAAGATTGGTGGAATTAGCTGCTTACACCATAGACAAAGTCAAATATGATGATAACTGGGAGCTCTGCCTGCCACGTGGGGGGCAGGAGGGAGGGTTCCTGCTAAGTGAATGGAGCAAGGCAAGCGGCCCGCTGGGCTCTCCCGTGGAAAGGTGCCTTCAGGTGTGGAGAGGTGTCCTTGCTGGTCTGCACAGCTTTCTCCTAGAAGGGAGACCCTCGAGGTTGAACGTGGTTCCTCGTGGTTTCCTCAGAAGGGGGCTGAGGAAAGGGAGCTTTCTCTGTGTGTTTGTTCTTCTTGGTTCTGTCAGGGCTTCTGATGTGAACGTCACCTTTACTCTTTCTTCACTTTTCGTGACCTTTTTTTCTTGGTGGAATCACGTTCCCTTGCTGTTTTATTTATTTTAAAGATTTATTTATTTACTTATTGAGCAGCGGGGGAGGGGCAGAGGGAGAAGCAGGCTCCCCACTGAGCAGGGGACTTGATCCCACAACCCTGAGGTCATGACCTGAGCCAAGGGCAGACCCTCAACCAACTGAGCCACCCAGGCGCCCCATCCCTTGCTGTTTTAATGTAATTTTCATGTAAATGTCATTTTTTAAGGGCTACACATTTTCATCAGCCCCTTTTGGGTAAACCCTCTCGTGCCCTAAGTTCCACAGTAGCAAGAGCCCAGTCCTCCTCACTGCTTCCGTGGACCCTGCAGGCTCGCCGGAACGCTGGCCTGGGAAGCAGGTGGAAGCAGGTGGCTGAGGAGGTGCCACGCAGCTCAGCTCCCTCGGGCTGGACCCCTGCTCAGGGAGCCTCCGAGGCAGGAGAGCGGCAGGGGTCCACACGGTGTGCCTGGCACATGCTTTTGTGAAATGCAGTTAAGGTTCTGACTCGATTTCTTATTTTCACATTGACATTTTCTAACATGGTTTTCCTGTTTGATTTTATTTTTCAACATAATTGTTAGTTCAATATGGGGAATAAATTTGGCAGAAGTTGGTTGTCTTGGGATGGCCTAATAAATTGGAAAAACTGTTTTGTCTGCGTCCTGAGTAAGGAAAACCCCGTTTTTCTCTGCAGATCTCCTTTACTCGCAGACAGAACAGACCCTTCTATCACTTCTAGTTGCTAATTCTGACATCAGCTGGGTGTCCTGCAGCCCCACTCGGTTCTGACACCATCCACCCATGTAAGGACTCAGTCCCATGAGACTCCCCCATGCCAGCCGCAAATTCAGGTTTGTCCCCTGTGCTTCTGACCTACTAGGTCAGGGAGCAGAGGTTCCCATGACCCCCTTTTCGGGTTTGATTAGTTTGTTAGGGCGGCTCACAGAACTCAGGCAACACTTACTGACATTAACCAGTCTATTTAAGGGGGTGATAAGGGATGGAGTGGGTCTGGGAGGGTCGCGAGCACAGGAGTTTCTGTCCCGTGGGGTGCGTCACCCTCACCGTGTGGATGTGTGCACCCACCTGGAAACTCTCTGAACCCTGTGCTATTGGGATTTATGGGGGCTTCCTCACGTAGGCCTGAGGTAGATTAACTGCATTTCTGAATACACACAGGAGTGTAGAGGGCCAAGGAGCCCAAGGGACCCCTGGAGCAGGAGGAGGGACCAATCCTGGCAGAGGCTGGGTTTGCAGAAGCTCTGGAACCGGGGCATGGTAGCCAGGTCGGGGCGGACAGAAGTGACAGGTGGAATCAAAGAGCCAAGGCAGAGCTCCATGGCTGGGTGGGGAGGACTTTTCTTAGATTTAGGTCACACGGACACTGGCCGATGTGCTCTGTTGTGTTCAATGATATGTAAGAACCCCTCTGAATCCATAAAAAAGAAAAATCAATAGAAAAATGAGCATGAGGGACGCCTGGGTGGCTCAGTCGGTTATGTGGCCAGCTTTTGATTTTGGCTCAGGTCATGATCTCAGGGTGACGAGACTGAGGCCATGTCATCCGTTGTCGGTTGGGCTCCTTGCTCAGTGGGGAGTCAGCTTGGGATTCTTTCTCCCTCTCTCTCTCTGTTCCATCCCCCCCAATAAATCCTAAAAAAAGAAAAATGAGCATAAGATAAGCAGTTACAGCGGAGGGGATGCCAATGGTGATGAGAAATGCAGGACAGCCTCAGTGCATACATGACCAAGGGAGGGGTCAGGGTGCATGGAGGTTGGGGTCTGGACCCCAGGGTCACTGCTATCGGCTGCAGGGGGGGACAAGTAACCAGGTCCTTTGGAAGCACTGGGCATTGCCTGATAAAGCTGGACACCCCACCCCTAGCCCCCCAGCCATTTTGCTCTGAGGCCCATACCCAGGGAGAACTCTGTCTGTGCCCCCGACATGACCAGAGAGGCATGGGGGATGTCCGAAATTCCTGCTGACAGGAGTAGCAGGTCTTGGGATCCCTTCAGTCTCTTATTTATTTTTATTTTTTTAAAGTTTTTATTTTTTTTTTATTTGACAGAGAGAGACAGCGAGAGAGGGAACACAAGCAAGGGGAGTGGGAGAGGGAGAAGCAGGCTTCCCGCCGAGCAGGGAGCCCGATGCGGGGCTCGATCCCAGGTCCCTGGGACCATGACCTGAGCCGAAGGCAGACACTTAACGACTGAGCCACCCAGGCGCCCCTCCTTCAGTCTCTTAAAAAGAACTGCAGAGCCAAGAGCTTTGTGGTGTCACCTTTGGTCTTTGCTGAGACTTTCTGCCCAGAACGAGCTTCACTATAAGCAGGCATGCATACTCAAGGCTTCAGGAGTGCCACAAGCCCAATTCTGTGTCCCCGAGGGCCTGGGAAAGTCCAGGCTGACAATAAATCCAGTGGGAAATGCATTTTCATGTCTTTCAAGTGGCTTCATGGGAGAAACCAGATTCTCAGAATTGTAGCATCCCTGGTTTTAGGACCAAAGAGTCTCTGAGGCCGCGTTTCATTGCCGTGACCTCTTCGGAGCTCCTTGGCAGAATTTGTGGTGCTGTTGCCAACGCCGGTACCTGGGAGGCCCAGGCGGTGGAGGCCTGGGGTTGGCTCAGCGCACCTCTGTGGTCCGCTCCTGTGATGCCCTGGGCCCAGAAACAGCTTGGATAAGTCTCTGTGATGCCTCCTGCATTTACTTTAGTTATCAGAAGAAAAGGCAGGAAGCACTGACGGGAAAGAGGATGGGATGCAGCAGTCGGAGCTCAGGGCGCCTCCTGCAGCCAGGAGACACTTAGCTCAGCGGGTGGACAGGGGGTGGACAGGGGGATCCAGGGTTCTAGGGCTCCAGCCACGGCGGTGCCACGGGAACAAGGACTTAGGTAGGGTCCCCTGACCAGGGGCTGTGTCTGCCTAGGGAGCCGGGATGGGCAGGAGATGTCCGCTGTGGGTCACCTGGCTGAGGCTGTCCTGGGCCTTGCAGCCACCCTAAGGGTCAGCCTTGTCCCTTCCTCATAAAGGCACCAAGTGAAGGTTCTAGGTCACGGTGCTCTTAAGGATAAGTCGCGACTGAAGCCAACGGTGTTCCTGTAGGAAGGAGGAACCCCGGGCTGCCTGTTCTATTCTCTGGAGCAGGCTACAGAGGCAGGAGAGACAAATGCTTCTGGCCACAGGCAGAACCCCAAGGGATGAAGGTCCTATGCTCCAACTCTGCATCCTAAGAGCTTAGAACTACTTTATCTGCAATACTGAAAATATGTTTGCTAGGTTCTAAATGAAATGAATGCACGTTTCTTTTATACTTTCACAAAACAGTCAGGTTCCACTTGTGTAATTTTGCCCCCGAGAGCGTGTCACTCCTGTGGCCCCACAGGGCAGCAGTGACCAGCAGGCCCTCAGTTTGGTGGAGTCCCTGGTCCTCAGGGCCTGAAAGGGAGGGTACATCTGCCGTTCACATGGTGTCTCTGTGCTCTGGAGAATTCCTCGGGTGCCACCCGGCTGCTGGGCCTCCAGTATCATCAGAAGAGGCCTCTGCTCAGAGGCTGGAGCCTGGTTCCAGTGTGCCGGCTCAGCTCCTCGAGAACCTGCTTCTCCTTCTGGTACATCTGAAACAAAGGAGTGGAAACCAACTTGGACATCCCCCAGCAGCCTGGCCCAGGGGTGTCCCAGAGCCCATGTCCATGGCTGTGGCATGAGGATCTCGGCCATGTGGCCTCCCAAAGCCAAAGCGCAGGACCTGGTTCTGCTCACCTTCACCCAGCACTGTGCACATGGAATGCCTATGAGGTGAAGGGTGGGACCAGCAGAGGACTGGGGTCCAGGGGCCCAAGGAGTGGTCTTGGGTAAAAGAAGAGGAGACCCTGTCTGGGGCTGTAGGAGAACAGGCCAGACACGTCAGCTGGGCCAAGAGTCCACGGGAGGGGGATGCGTGAGGACAGCCCCTCCTGGGGGAAAGAGTGGTCAGTGCCTGGGGAAGGTGGATGGGGAAGCCCTGGGAGGGCTGGGGTCCCTGCTGGAGGTGACATCATGGGCTTTCTCCGAGATGCTGCCAGAGGGGGGCGAGGGGGCCACAGCAGGGTCAGCCTCTCACTTGGCCAGGAAGCTGAGCCACGGTGTCCCTGGTGGGGATCCAGCCTGAGATGGGCTGGATGTGGGGACAGCTGTATCAAGGACTTTTTTGCTAATTGAAAAAAAATTTGTATGCCTTCCAGAGAGTCTGATGATTTGATTACAAATATAATTTGAGTTTATTAAATACAATATGGTGCATATACCAACATACACCCTTATAAATGGGGTAAATATTGTCATTTCTCAGGGAAACAAACGGCTAAATAACTTTAGCCTGTAGGTCTCTATCAGATGCTTGCATGTTCCGAATCCTGTTCCCACCTGATACATATCATCACAATTTCTCTTGTAAAGGTCTTTTGACTTTAAGTCATTAGAATTTTATAGAATTTAGAGAATCCAGACTCTCTACTCAGCCCTTCCTTTCAACAACGAATAAGTAATACAGTTAGTAGCCTTTGGGGATCCCAATATTTTAAACAAACAATGTTAGTCTTTTGTTTTGATAAAGCAGGCGTTTATAAAATCCTTAATTTACTGCTTTTCCACCCCTAGGCCCCCCCCCCATTTTGGTTTTTGTACTTGACTGCAGGGACAGCTCAGGCAGCCCTGGTTCCTGGGCACCTGGTGCACAGGGCACTGCACCCTCTGTGCTGGAGGACCGGAGGACAGCTCCTACCTTCTGCCACTCAGCCTCTGTGCTGTGTGTGAAGCCCAGCAGGTGACAGAGCCCATGGGTGGCAGTCACCTGTCAGAACAATTAAAAAGCTGTTTCAGGAACTGATCATGACCAATCCTCGAGCCAGGGGTTGGGGAGTGTGGGGGGGGTGGGGAGGAGGAGGAGGAGGAAAGGCAGGGAGAAGTCAGCCCATGCAGGGTGGGAGGTTAGGAACCTAGGGGAAGGTGGAGGGTACCTGGGGCTGAAAAGGTGCCTGTGTGCAGTTGGGGGCGAGGAGAAGGTCCCAGGCCTGTTGGGCTGGCCCTCCGCTGCATGTAATGGGATCTCTGGGAGGCGGAGGTTGAAGCAGATACGCACAACAGCCCCACAGGGGTGCACCGCTGCCGGCCACAGAGATCCCAGAGCTAAAGCCCATGCTGAGCAATCCTGTCTATGCCAGGGCTCCTGCCACGCTCAAGAAGAAAGCACAGCCTCCTCCTCCCAGAAAGTCCCACTGTCGCCCAAGGAAGCAGGCCCCGTTGCCTGCTCATCATGGCTCTCCCTGGGAAGCTCTGCTTCAAGTCACAAAGAAGCACCAGGATCCCCTAAAGATAGTTCAGGGTGTGGCTGTTTGGTCAAAGGAAAACACTTCAGTAGAATCCACAGGAAAGTTAAGATACAATCGCTTTTCGGAACACCCCTCCCCCTTTTGCCGTCAAGTTGAGGAGAGACAGATCTGGAAGGTCCTGGAGGCTACCGTTCTGTAAGGAGCCTATTCAGCAGATCTGAGTTAGCTAAACACAGCTTGCTGAGCTCCAGGGGTAAAAGCTAAAAACAAGGCACTTCTGGGAGCTCCTGACCTGTTTCCTGTCTTCTGCCCTCACCCGACGTTGCTGGGGGCAAGCAGGCCCGTGGCCTAGGCTCACTCTCTCTCTCTCTGTGGGATGATGAGAGAGGGTCCTTGCTGCCCCTGCTTGTAGGTCTCCCTCCCCTGATAACCCCGGTCCTTCCTGTGAGACAGCTGGAGGCAGGCGTCCCATCCCCGGCCCTCTCTTCAGGGCCTGTTTGTTTCAGCGTCCGACTCACAGTAAGGACGTCATAGTAGTCCTCGTCCCCTTCGCACTGCTGGAAGATATACTCCACTCCTAGGAAAATGTCCCCCAAATTGTAGTCATCTTGAAAATCAGGCTGGGGAAGTTCCCCCGCTTTTATATTCTGGAAATGAGGAAATACAGATTTGGAGAACATGACCTCTGGAACCAATCTGACGGCAGGCCTACAGACTTCATTCTGGAAGATCCCTACTCAGTAGTCCCAGGGCAGGCGAGGGGTGGGGGGACCACAGCTGAGCCACTCTTTACAGGTGACCTAAGACAAACGAGTTGCTTTCCTCTGTCTCTTTCACCTTTTTAGTGCATGATCACACAGATCCACATTGGTACAATTTTATATTTCTGTTCTTTCTGTTATTTTGTCCTAAACAGTCTTCCACATTTTCCCACATAAAACAAAAGAAACAACCAGTCCATTCATCTGAGGGCTGTTCACACTAAGCTAGTCCTGCAGACGGATATTTAGGGTACTAACATGTTTCCTCCCTACTAGAAAAAAATACCAAGTGAATATTTAAGACGCTTATACTAGAACATCCTCCCTTCCTTAGCGGTAACACTAATGGATCACACAGTACACGCATGTCTCTCGTGCTCTTCAAGTGTACTGCCGGAGTACCTTCCAAAAAGGTCCTTCCCGTTTATGCTGTTACTAGCGATGTGGGAAGCCTTGAATGAGCCATGTGCATCATGGAGGTGGTAACCTAATCACTATCTTAAATTGTTTTTCGGTGTTATTTTTCATTTTCAGTGAAAAAATTCAGTGTTATTTAAAAATTTCGACCATGCATATTTGTTATTGAATCACACTTAAAATTCCAGAAGCAGGGGCGCCTGGCTGGCTCAGTGGGTGGCGCATGGGACTCTTGATCTTGGGGTTGTGACTTTGAGCCCACGTTGGGTGGAGACGACTTAAAAATAAATAAAAGATCTTAATAAAAATTGCAGAGGCTCTGTACTTCTGTTTTTTTTTTTTTAAAGATTTTATTTATTTATTTGAGAGATAGAGAATGAGAGATAGAGAGCACGAGAGGGAAGAGGGTCAGAGGGAGAAGCAGACTCCCCGCTGAGCAGGGAGCCCGACGCGGGACTCGATCCCGGGACTCCAGGATCATGACCCGAGCCGAAGGCAGTCGCTTAACCAACGGAGCCACCCAGGCGCCCTGTACTTCTGTTTTAACTCACTGACAGCATTAGGAGGGCTGGGGGACCCAGCTGCCTTTTCTCCTCGGGCGATGCTTGTGGGTCAAAGGGGTTTTCCTGCTGTACTCTACTTATGTGTATATTTTAAAGTTTTCAAAATGAAACTTAAAAATCAGAATGTTTACACCAGAACGTAGGCCAGACAAGAGAATACTTTTTACCTCATGAAATGGAAAGGAAAGCACATCAGTTGGGATGTTCTTCTCTCTGTAGATTCTGTTGATGCGCTGAATACTCCTGTTGTCGACGCAGACGATCCCCAGGTCGAACTTCTGCACCCCGAGGATGCGCCTCACGGTCTCCATCCTCCTGCGAAGGCGCCCCCTCCTGACGGGCACGGCGCGCTGCAGGTTTCTGAGCACCAGGCTCATCGCAGGAAGAGCGACGCGGCGCTTTAAAATGTGGAAAGGAGCCCGTGCTCAACGTTTAAAGAAAAATCAGTTGTAGAAAGTGGCAATACATTCTGTAAAAAGGGGGAAATTAAGGCCTGTAGCGAGGAAGGGGCCATCGGTGGGGGGGGCGGGGGGGGCAGGTGGAGGAAGAACAACAGGGTGAGCCGCGGGGTGCGGTGGGGCGAGGGTGTGCGCGGGAGGGGTGAGGTGCGGGGAGTGGGTGCTGGCGGGCGCGTGGGCTGAGGGGAGAGGAGGCGGTGGGACGCGACAGGGTGGGCGGGAGGTGTAAGGCCGGAGAGGGGGAGTCCTGGCGGGGCCGCTCAGCGCGAGCACCGACGCTCCGGGCAGCACGCGGGGCGCGAACGACGCCGCACTTCGGAGAGGGGAGGTCGCGCGCTCACGTACCGGGGCCGAAGCCAGCGGGTCCCGCCCGGGTCCCGCGCGCCGGAAGCCCCGCGGCGGCGGGCCGGCGGGCGAGCGGAACCCGAGCGTGGCGGAGCCAGGGTGGGGCGGAGCCGCGCGAACGGACCGGAAGTTGGTCCGCTGCGTTTTCTGCCCGCGGCGCTCAGCGAAGGGTCGGCTCCCGCGGCCGCTGTCTGTGCCGACGTCTCCAGCCGAGCGCCGACGGGGCCCCGGGGCGGCGGCGGGCGGCGGCGGGTCTCCGAGTCCCTGAGCCGGACGGTGAGCGCGGCGCAGGGCCCGGCCTGGGCGGAGGCCGCTTCCTTCCCCTGCCCCGCCGCCGCGCAGGTGTCGTCACTGGAGCGGGCCTGGGGCGCGGGCGGCTCTCGGCGGGGCGCGGGGCCGCCGGCGATTTTCGGGGTGCGCGGCCTCCGTTGCCCCGCCCTCCCCTTGCCAGGGGGCAGCCCCTCTGCAGGGGCACTCTGTTCTTTGAGCCAGTTCAGGGGGTCTTCTCAGGTATAGCCGCGCACTCTATTTCTCTATCTGGGTTCTGGTTACCGGGAGAAAATTAGGAAACGCTGACGGACGCCTGGCTGGCTCAGTGGGTGGAGCCTGGGACTCTTGATCTCGGGGTGAGTTCGAGCCCGCTGTTGGGTGTAGAGATTGCTAGGAAAGATAAACCTTAAGAGAAAGAGAAAGGAGGAAACACTGAAACACTAATGTTCTTAACAGCGTTACATTGTAGTTTTCTGGCTACGGAGATTGAGGACTGGAGAAACTCCTCTCTTTGAAAGTGTGACTGCATTAATTTTCTCATGGATCTCTGAGGTTTCTCGTGCCGTTTACCAATTAAGTAAAATAATTTCAGTTTTTTTTCTTAAAGGATGACGCTTTAAGCCTGCGGTAACAAAGTAATTTAATCTTCCACCCTCTACCCTAGGCACCCCCCCCCCCAAAAAACACCCCACTGGCTCTCAGAAAATAATACCTAGCCCTTTGGTTTCCCTGGAGTGTGACGTGCGATTACAAATTCTCTTCTTAGTCTTCAGCAGGACGGGACCGTGATGATCTGAATTTTTGTCTTCCAGCGTACCGTGAGGATGAGGGGGAGCTCCCTCGCTGAACAGACTATTTAAGAAGACTACTTGTATGCACATAGAATTTACTGCCTTTCATCAGAAGATGAACCCCACTAATCCTTTTAGTGGGCAGCAGCCTGGGGTTTTCCCAGCATCTACCAGTGGTTCCATAGGAACATTTCAGGCTAAGCCACCATTTCGATTTGGTCAGCCTTCTCCTTTTGGTCAAAATAATACGTTATCTGGGAAAACCTCAGGATTTTCACAGGTAGCCAGCTTTCCTACATCTTCTGGAGTAAGTCCTTCTTCTTCAGCACAAACATTAGGATTCTCCCAAACCTCAAATGTTGGACTCTTTTCTGGACTTGAACACACTCCAGCTTTTGTAGCTGCCTCTGGGTCTTCAAGTTCATGTATGCCTGCAAACCCAGGATTTAGTTTTAAATCACCCAATTTTGGGGCTTTCCCAAGTACTTCTACGTTTGGACCAGAAACTGGGGAAGTAGCAAGCTCTGGTTTTGGGAAAACAGAGTTTAGCTTCAAGCCTCTGGAAAATTCCGTGTTTAGACCAATATTTGGGGCTGAATCTGAGCCAGAGAAAACTCAGAGCCCAATTACTTCTGGATTTTTCACATTTTCTCATCCAATTAGTAGTGGGCCTGGGGGACTGGCTCCATTTTCTTTTCCTCAGGTGACAAGCAGTTCAGCTGCCAATTCAAACTTTACCTTTTCAAAACCAGTCAATAGTAATAATTCATCATCTGCCTTTACCTCTGCTTTGTCAAACCAAAATGAGGAAGAGAAGAGGGCCTCTAAGTCACTATTTGGAAGTTCTAATAGTAGCTTCACTCACTTCCCCATATCTTCAGGGCCTCTGGGTGAACCATTCCCAGTTAGCAAAACAGGTGTGAGACAAGGATGTGAAGAACGTGTTTCCCAAATGGAGCCACTTCCCAGCCTCACGAAAGGACTGAAGAGGAAGGAGGACCAGGATCGCTCCCCAAGGAGACACGGCCATGATGCAGCAGAAGACCTGGATGCTCCATCGAGGGGAGATCACCCTCCAGATAAACGACCTGTCCGCCTGAATCGACCCCGGGGAGGCACCTTGTTTGGTCGAACGATACAAGATGTCTTCAAGAGCAATAAAGAAGTAGGTCGTCTGGGCAATAAGGAATCTAAAAAGGATATTGGCTGTGCCGAATCTGGGGAAAATGACCACATGGCCATCCCAGGAGGGAGTCAGTCTGTCTTGGCACCTTCCCGGCTCCCCGGTGTGAATAAAGAGGAAGAAACTGAAAGTAGAGATAAAAAAGAAGGTGAGCCCTCTATATGTGCACCATCCAGTAAATGCTGCTGGCAGGTTCTTGGTAAATTTCCCTGGGTCTTAGTTTGATGTTTCTGGTAAATTTTCTGTAAACACTAGGAATTCTAACATACCAAGAGCATGTCCTACGTGAACATTTCCTTTGCTCTTACATAGGTGGTGCCTCCTATACGAAATGTTACATCTGAGGGGCGACTGGCTGGCTCAGTTGGAAGAGCATGTGGCTCTTGATCTCAGGGTCATGAATTGGAGCCCCACATTGGATGTGGAGATTACTTAAAAATAAATAAATACATAAACTTTGAAATGTTCTATCTGATGCATTTTTTAAAAGATTTATTTATTTTAGAGAGAGAGCACATGAGTAGGGGGAGGGGCAGAAGGAGAAGGAGAGAATCTCAAGCAGGCTAACTCCCTGCTGAGCTCAGAGCCTGATACGGGCCCGATCTCACCACCCTGAGATCATGACGACCCGAAATCAAGAGTCGGCTGCTTAACTGACTGAGCCACCTAGGCGCCCCATCTGATACATTTCTGTGCCTGTTCTCTGATCCCTAGATTCTCTAAGAGGAACGCCTGGACGTCAAAGTAAAAGAAGTGAGAGCACAGACAGTCTTGGGGGCTTGTCTCCTGCTGAAATCACAGCAATCCAGTGTAAGAACATCCCTGACTGTCTCAATGACAGAACCATTCTGGAGAACCACTTTGGTAAAATTGCTAAAGTGCAGCGTATCTATACCAGGCGCAGCAAAAAGCTTGCAGTGGTGTATTTTTTTGATCATGTGAGTATTTCCAAGAAATTTAATGTGAGTGAAAAAAATTTGAATTTCGTCACTTTAAAACTTGTTTTTTATTTTTTATTTATTTTTTTAAAGATTTTATTTATTTACTTGAGAGAGAGAGAATGAGAGACAGAGAGTACAAGAGGGAAGAGGGTCGGAGGGAGAAGCAGACTCCCTGCTGAGCAGGGAGCCCGATGTGGGACTCGATCCTGGGACTCCAGGATCATGACCTGAGCCGAAGGCAGCCGCTCAACCAACTGAGCCACCCAGGCACCCTAAAACCTGTTTTTTAATCTATCAGTTATTTGCTAGAATTTGGGCAAGCACTCGAATATCTTACTCTTAACTTAGGCTGGAATAACACTATTTATTTCGTAACTTGGAGTTATTCATGGAAAGCTTGCAGTGCCTACTGAATCAGTGTTCTAGAAATGCTGGGTGAGTGATTCCATGAGTCAGATTCCTCTGAAATGCATGGGAGTGGCTCTGTAATCACACAGCACTTTTTCCAAATTGAGTTTTCTTGTTTTATTTGGTCATAGTACATAGTGACTGTAAACATTCAAACAGTACAGACAAAGTAGACGGCCCTTGTAGTCCCGTTCTCCAGAGATAACTGATGTTACTTGTTCGGTTTATCTGCGCATACATGCATAACACACTGGTTGGAGGGTGTGTGCATACGGGGGCCATTCACATGATGTAGCTTTATATCTTTATCGTTTTTTCTGAATATTCTTGTGGGGAAAATAAAGTTCTATAGAATTTGTAAAGTAGAAAGCATGTCTTTATACTTTTTTTAAATGATAAAAGTATAGCCTGTTAATGTAGGAGAATAAAACAAATCTATGGGAGGGGTAATATCTTTGCAAGTATGTAGTCATGTTGGTTTTACACAAATGGGGTCACACCGCAGATGCTGTCTGGTAACCTTTCCAGGTAGCAATCTTCAGTATTTTCTGAAATCAATAAATAGCCTAGATTAGAATAGGATTGTTAAGTGCTACATGGCATTCTCTCCCGTTTACCTACTTGACCGATTTTCTGTGGACATTTTGTGTATGTATTTCTGATTGGCTTATATCCTTTGTTTAAATTCCTGAAGTTCTGTGCCAAAATACATGCATAGCCTTAGGGCTTTTCACGTTTATTCCTTTCTGTTAATTTTTTTTTCAATTCAGTGGCATTAATTACATTCACAATGTTGTACAACCATCACCACTGTCTATTTCCGGAACTTTTCCATCATCCCAAACAGAAATTCTAACCACTAAGCAATATCTTCCAATTTTCTCCTTCCTTCAGCTCTTGGTGATCTCTAATCTACTTTCTGTCTCTATGAATTTGCCTATTCTAGAAATTATTTTTAAGTGGAATCATATAGTATTTGCC